GCGTGAATTAAATTAACATTTACTATAAAAATTAATTTGGATGGAGAAAAAACTTCCTAATTATATATATGATTTTGTATTTTCATGTTCCAAGCTATGGACAAGGTTGTCAATTGTTCTGGGTAAATTACAACACAAGTACCAATCAGGTACCAAACACGAATCTTTTTGCCTTTTTGACATGATAATTTCCTCTCTTTTGTCTTCCTTTGAGTACTATTGAATTGGTATAGTGTTTGTCGTACACACGAGGAATCCAGATCAGATTGCTTCAATGTTAGGTTTGTTTATTGATCAAGATATGAAGCTTATTTAATAGTCGAAACACATAAAGTACTAAAAAGCAAACAAATTTGAGACACACACTCTAGTGTGCACCTTACAACACCTCAGGTTTTAAAGGCTCTGAATGGCCACTCTTGATCTGAGGCTAATCAATCCCCCATGCCTACGTGACCCATTAGTGGCCAAATGAAGTTGATTAGCTCTCCACCTTTGCTAAAAAGCTCCAAACGCGTTGTACCGTCACAATGTGATGCTACGTGGAAGAGGAGCTCCAACCACACTTTGCTAAGTGTCTCCCATTTGTCTTTTCCATAATCTTTCTCCAGTCTCGGAAGTTCTTTGGCCAGCATACATGCCTCAAATAACACCGATTTGCTATGAGTTCCTTTGACATCTCTTGGTTCGATGCTGGTATCGACTGAAAGAATTTTCTCACAAGCTAATTTCACACTCCTAGAGCTTCTGATACCCATCTTGTCGAAGAATCTTTCAGCTTCCGCCAAGGTGTCTCTGAATCTGATTTTCCCTATGCCAGCTATCTCTGACATCAGCTTGGGCTGCTTGATCAAGAGATACATCATGTAGTCGGAAAGGATTTTGCTGTGCTCACGGTCTTTGTGATACTCAGATGTATTACACTTCTCTTTGGTGGAAGCTTCTTCTTGGTAACAGAGCTCGGTGGCAATGTGCCAGATCAAAAGACTATGGTCATAATCAACATCTGTTATGTAATGCAACAGCATTTCATGATCTGCTATTTGAATCTGGGTATGGCTCGACGCCCAACCTCTCTTGGCCGAGGATTTTGTTTTGGTATTCTTCAGGTTCTCTGGAATCTGGGACTTGATTTGTAGCTCAGAAAAGACGAAAGACCATAGATTTCTTGTCAAGGGTTCGCTGTGTACAGATCTTACCAGTCTTATCTCATGGAAGAGATCCTTGATGCCCAAGAAGTTGATCAAGCAGGCACCAAGAAACGTAAGGTACATGGAATAAAAATTCAACAAAATTCTGGAAGATGGTGATAATAGAACGAGTACTTTGAGAAGATACCTTTGAGGAATCCCTATTTTTAATCAGTTCATGAACGATACCAACATGTTTATCTAGCTCTTCTCCCAAATTTGTATGAAGTTGCTCTAGCTTTCCCAGCTTCAATTTGAGAGATTGTAGCCTCGTAATCAGATAAAAGGAAACAAGATCCAAAGCAGGAGGAGCACTTTGGCTTCTTTGTAAAGTAGTCTTTTGGTTATTGCTCTCAGTAATTCCTTGTTCCTTCTTGCTTCTTCCTAAAGGATCTTCCTTTAAAGGACACAAGAGTTTGTTCAACTCTATTAAGCTCTCCAAGATCTTATCGACTTTCTCCTCTAAAGTATCTCCTGATTTCTGCGTCTGCAAATTGTTATTGTAAGCCATGAGGTTAACACTCCTCTGAAGTATCTCCTTAATTAACTAATGTTAAATTAACCCACCTGCCTGCAAATCTTGAAAGTAGTCAAGACTTAGTATCAGTCTGATTTGAAAAGAAAAAGAAAAGCCATGAACTTTCCAGTACCTACCAGTCTGAATCATACAAAAACCAAACAGAATATGTAGTAATACCTTATAGCGCCCTCAACGCACTTGTAGACCCTCCTCCTCTTCAGGTTCCACACCAAAACAAAAC